AGACCTGTACCTCTGAAACAAATAATACATTATATGTTAAAAAAAAAAAAAAAAGATAGTAGGAAGGGAAAAATGAAGGGGGGGAAATCAGAGGGAGAGATGAACCATGAGAGACTATGGACTCTGAGAAACAGAGGGTTCTAGAGGGGAGGGGAGTGAGGGGATGGGTTAGCCTGGTGATGGGTATTAAAGAGGGCACGTATTGAATGGAGCACTGGGTGTTATACGCAAACAATGAATAATGCAACACAACATCAAAAACTAATGATGCAATGTATGGTGACTAACATAATATAATAGGAAAAAAAAACTGTTCTTCAAGGGTGGTAGCAATTTATAATATAACCATGAAGTTAATTTTATCATCTAACTTTTTTCTAATTTTGAAAATTATTTTCTTGTTCTTTTACTTTTTTTATAAAGATTTTATTTATGTATTTGACACAGAGAAAGAGACAGCGAGAGAGGAAACACAAGCAGGGGGAGTGGGAGAGGAAGCAGCATGCTTCCCACTGAGTGGAGAGCCGGATGGGGGACTCGATCCCAGGACCCTGACATCGTGACCTGAGCAGAAGGCAGACGCTTCATGACTGAGCCACCCAGGCATCCCTGTTCTTTTAATTTTAATGTGGTTACTGAGTAAGGCCAAATAATAGTTTCATGTTTATTGGTCATTTTTGCTTTTTCTTTTACAAGGCTGGTTTGAATCCTTTGCCCGTTTTATCAGCCAGTGTGCATCTTTTACTACTTGTAAGAGCTTTTAAGGTATTAAAGATTTTTTTTTTTTAAGATTTTATTTATTTTTTTGACAGAGAGAGACATAGCGAGAGCAGGAACACAAGCAGGGGGAGTGGGAGAGGGAGAAGCAGGCTTCCCGCTGAGCAGGGAGCCCGATGCAGGACTCGATCCCAGGACCCTGGGATCATGACCTGAGCCGAAGGCAGACGCTTAACAACTCAGCCACCCAGGCGCCCTAAGGTATTAAAGATTTTAATACTTTGTCATATGTTGCAATTATTTTTTTTTACTTTAATTTTAAAAAATTTATTCATTTGAGAGAGAGAGAGAGCACAAGCAGGGGGAGGGGCAGAAGGAGAGGAGAAGCAGACTCCCCACTGAGCAGGGATCCTGTTGCAGGCTCCATCCCAGGACCTTGGGATCATGACCTGAGCCAAAGGCAGATGCTTAACCAACTGAGCCATCCAGGTGCCCCTGTTGCAATTATTTCTATCCAAAGTGTATTTCCCCTTTAGCTTTTGCTTATTTTTTAAGTTTTGAGAAATGAAAACTGACATCTTGCCCTGCTACAATTATGAATATGTGCCCGTAACATTTCCAGTCAGCCCCCTCCCAAATAAACAAATGTAAAAAGTCAACACTGTCTAGTTCTAGTTTCTAAAATAAACAAAACCTTGGTTTCCCTAAAGTAACTGATTTCCTAACAAAAATGTCTTTATTCTCGACTTCAGTAACGTTAATGGCTGGAGACACAACAGCTTTTACAGACATCATGGAAAAAGCTACTGTATTTCCACAATGAAAAAAACTATACTCACTGTAATTTTTAAAATTCGTAAGGCATTCCTTTTGAATTCTAACTCCTTTGCAAAATTTCTTTGCAAGAAAATATTTTCTTTTAGAAGTAAGTACTTCTAAGTCTTTCTTAAATTTTATGTAATCAAATCTCCTTTCCATTATTGTTTCTATGTTTGGTGCTATGCTTAAAAAGTTGCTCCTTACAGTAGATTACATACCTTCCTTAAATCTTTTTGGGAAGTAGATATTAAGGCATAAATAAATTAATCACACAATACATTTTATGCTACAGAATATAGTTTTTCATAAATTTCTATATTACTGTTATATAAATTTAGAGCTGAAGGGATCACCTGCGTTAATCCGCCATCAACCAAGACCTAGGGAAATGGACCATTCCAAGTTACATGGGTAATACATGGTATGGTGAGGACTATAATCTTATTCTTCTGTACCCCAATCCAATGCTACTTCTAGTCAACTTTGATGTCATCCTCTCTGTTAGCAGCAGTAAGAATCTGATAAACAATTACTAAATGATAATGGTGATGAAATTCTTTTTTGTCCTCTTTCTGTGGTAATACTTTATTAAGTGCTTTATATTTTATACTCACAATAATCCCACTGCACCCATGTACAAATTAAACTCTAGGTGTATTCAGAGCTTAAATATGAAGAGTAAAACTTATTAGAGAAAGCACATGAATGACTTTCTTAATACCTCTCAGTTAAATTTCTTTTAAAAAGTACTAAGAAGCAGAAAAAATAAAGAAAAAATGACAAGAGACATACAAACACCCAGCAAGCAAATGAAAAGATGCTCATCATCAACAACGAGGGAAATGCAAATCAAAATCACGAGATATTGCCTCATATCCGCTAGGATGGTCACCATCAAAAAAAAACCTCCAAAGCCAACAAGTGTTGGCAAGGATGTGGAAAACCTGGAAACTATATGCTGCTGGTGGGGAACAAAAGGGTGCAACTGCCATGGAAAACATCATGGACGTTCCTCAAAAAACACAAAAATATAAGTGCCATAGGATCCAGCAATCCCACTTCTGGGTATACATCCAGGATGAAATACTAAGAGTAAATCTCTCCTTCTTTTAACAACCACAACTACATCAAGATTGAAAGATAATACAGTTCTACTGTAAGGTTTGTTCTGAAACTGTAAATTGTTACAACAAGGCTCATATATTAGGAAATAATTCAAGCATAATGTGTATTTTATACTTGCTTTAAGTAATTTTATTCATGAGAAACACTAGGTAAATGTAGAAAACTGCATCTAGCCACACAAGCATATACAAACTGCATACATATACACACCTCAAATATCTACCAGCAACCTCAGCTCATTATGCATGTTACAAGACAAATCAACCCTCCTTCTACCACCACACAATGATTTGCAAATTGCAACCCACCTCACAACCACTTCCACAGACAAACTCCAGAGATTTTTCAACAGAAAATGTGGTAGTTGGCATAGTATTTATATTAGTTCTTAACCATTTAACGCGCATCAAATGTTACTATGTTTTTATTACAGTCATATCTTTTTTTAAAATTTTATTATATTATGTTAATCACCATACATTACATCGTTAGTTTTTTGGGGTTTTTTTGTTTTTTAAGATTTTATTTATGTGACAGAGAGACACAGCTAGAGAGGGAACACAAGCAGGGAGAGTGGGAGAGGGAGAAGCATGCTCTCGGCTGAGCAGGGAGCCCAACGCGGGGTTCGATCCCAGGACTCTGGGATTACAACCTGAGCCAAAGGCAGACGCCTAACGACTGAGCCACCCAGGCGCCGACATCATTAGTTTTTGATGTAGTGATCCATGGTTCATTGTTTGCATATAACACCCAGTGCTCCATTCAATACGTGCCCTCTTTAATACCCATCACCAGGCTAACCCATCCCCCCACCCCCCTCCCCTACATTCATATCTTTAAAAAAAAAATGTCACTAACGAAATTTTTGAGTGTGGCCCTACCTCCATATTTCCCATAATCCCTATGGTTTATATTGTGTGATTTTACACAGCCCGGCAATTTTTAGGAATTCGTATGTTGTATTACAGAAGAACTGACTTTACACTTGCTCTTTCCATGAGCAGGCTTTGATTTCATTAGTTATGATGATTTTATATAAAATGGTACCATGATAAGTACTTTCAAAGAGAAGAATTGGTTGCTATGAGGGCATATAATAGATTTGATCAAGAGAACGTTAACAAGGTGAAAACAGGAGGGAAATTCTAGGTCGAGTAAAGAGCATGTGCGAACAAGCTGAAAGAAGACTGGCTGATAATGACAGAGTGAGGAAAAATGTGGATGACACAGAGCTGAAAAGCTGGGTACAGAGCACTCTGTGGTGCCTGTAGGGGCCTTGTTAAAGCATCGATCCTTATCCCAAGAGCTACAGAAATCTGACAAAGTATATTAAGCAGAAAAGGATGACATGAGCAAATCTACGTTTTGAAAAGATCATGTTGGCTGCTCTAAAACGGCATGATTCTAAAGACAGTAAGTAACAAATATATATATATCTAACTAATGATCATTATGAAAAAAAGCATATCCTCTTGGGTCATATTTTATAATTTAAAAAAACATTTTACACTCTTTTATTGTAACCATTTCCACATATTTCATACCTATAACTTATACATTTCCGTGTTCTTGTTGACCTCCTTTCAAGTAAGTTTGCTTTGGATTTTTTTGAATCTTTTTTCTTTTCTTCATGATCTTCAGAAAAATCTGGCTCCTGGTTTAAAAATATGATAACAAATATATAGGTTATTAGGACAAACAAAAAGCTTCTTGGAATGAATAGTTTTCTAATGTCTGTCTAGGAAGCACATGTAAAAGACTGAAAAAGTGAGGTGATCTCACCGCCCCCAAAACTGAATGAACACGGCCACACTAAGTAGAGAGATTAAAAAGAGTACTGGTGATCAAAGGATGAAGCCCTTCTGTATTAAAATTCTTATGTTTCTGTGAGTTTATAATTACCTCTTTTAAAACAATCATGATGAAGTTTCTCCACTGATAAATTTTTTAACAAATAATTAAATTGAACACATAGAAGATATTCAGAAGATATGCTGAATCAATGAAATAATGGATTTAGAAAAAGAAAGAAGCATGATGATGAAGGAAAGTAACTAACCAAGACAGGTTACTTAAGTGTTCGATTTAATTAAGGCTGAATGAAACTGTGTATGAAACTAGGAACATTTCTTCATTTCCAAATGAAAACCATGTTACATGTACTTTCACTCATGAGATATCCTTAATTAGAAATTAGACTAATAATGTAAAACAATATTCCTTCAAAGAAACCAACTGTTAAGAACAAATACTGAAGTTTCTAATAACCAACACCCAAAGCACAGAATTAAAAACCTGAACTCCCTGAACTATTCTTTTGTCACTTTACATAAACAACACATAAAGAAGCTAAAAACAAATTACCCAATATAATACAGGGTTAAAAAAAAAAAAAAAAACCACCCCAGAACATATACCCCATAGCAGTGAGCTATATAAATCTGATTTGAACATGATATTACATTTTAGGGCTATCAGCATATATGTAATTTTTATTTTATTATTATTGTTATTTTCTTTAGTAGACTCTACACCCAACATGGGGCTCAAACTTACGACCCTGAGATCAAGAGCTGCATGCTCTACCGACTAAGCCAGCCAAGCAGCCCAGCATATATTTAATTTTAATCATGAGGGAAAATATGGGTGATTTCTTTAAGGTCCTAAATTTCTAATTTTTTTTTTTTTTTTTTTATTAGACAGAGAGAAAGTACAAGCAGGGGGAGCAGCAGAGGGAGAAGGAGAAGCAGGCTCCTCGCTGAGCAGGGAGCTTGACGCGGGATTTGATTCCAGGACCCCAGGATCATGACCCGAGCCGAGCTGAGCCACCCAGGCACCCCCACTTTTTTTTTTTTTTTTAAATTTTATTTGAGAGAGAGCACATGAGAGGGGGGAGGGTCAGAGGGAGAAGCAGACTCCCTGCTGAGCAGGGTGCCCGATGTAGGACTCGATACCGGGACTCCAGGATCATGACCTGAGCCGAAGGTAGTCGCTTAACCAATTGAGCCACCCAGGCGCCCTCCACTTGTAATAAAACAGGTATACTGTATATTTAAAACTATTCACATTACATAAAGTGGGTTAAATTTTAAAACAATTATGACAGTCTCTTCTTCAAAAATACTACAAACCAGAAACTTACTTGTGGAGGAATGATGTTTTCGATACTGATACCCACATACACCAAACGTTCTTTCCTTTAGGTGAAAACAAAAACGCACGCAAAATGAGATTTGCTAAAAATAAAATTGTTATGAAAACATTGCTAACACAGACAATACTAAAATGATGATTTCATGGTAACGGCAGAGGCTAGGTCATAGACATGTTAGCTACTGTCTACAGAGCTTATCGTACTGGTAACTGTGGGAGGCACAAAACTTTCTAAAGGTAAAAACTGTAAAAAGGTGTAACTGAAAATTGTAGTCTTGGAAGTAATTATACTGATGAAATAAAACCTGCGAGCTGAAGTAGACAAGGAAACTTCATGAGGAGAGTTATGCTGCAACTCACTGACAAAGTGATTAGACAGGAAGTCAACGCTGGACAAACTAGATCTTTGTTAGGCTGGACATTTTCATATGTGTATATACACAGCCATAATCTCAAGGTAATAAATATCAATACTAAAAAAAGAAATTCTATGCAATAGAACCATGTCAAGGTCCCAGTGATTGATACTAAAACCATGCGTTTGCAGAGAAGAAAAAAGGCAGTGCAGCTACAAGGCTCTGCACCCTAGTTGCTCCAGTGAAGATTAGTTTTAGAGCCAGTTAACACTTCTTCAGGCAATGTGGATTTAGAACACTAACAAGATCTCCATAGTTTCTTTTCAAAGAAACGAACCTTTGTTGATTTTAATCCAACAAATTTTCCATTAACAAACTGCTACACCCAATAGGTGTTTTTTCTGGTTCTCCCAAAGTTAATCTAATTCACCAAGGACAGATGAGCTCTTATATGCAGGCCAGTGTATGTTGAACTGAACAGAAATAACCACTCTTCCTCCCTTTGCTTGTGATGTCCCTTATAGAAGGGCATTACTCATCCAGTTACCTGGGTCCTTCAGAATGCAGCCTTTACTGCCCTAGAAACCCTTGGCTCTGCTAACAAGAATCTTACAGTCTTTCTGAGATGGGTTATAAAGCTATTCAGTCAAAAATTGGGCACGTAAGAAAATGATAAAGTTATTTTAATCAAAACCTGATTTAAAATAGTACAGTTAATGAATTAAAAACTAGGAAAGGCAAAAACAGTACTAGCTGAAATTAACAGGGAAGGCTTCATGGAGAAGTCAGAACTTGAGTTCTCTGTTACTAAATATGTTCAACACATATCTATCCCTACACTAACCAAGTTTACTGTTTTATCAGTTTCCTCTTTTATACCTCAAAATCTCTACTTTCACTTTATTATTATCTCAACTCAACTGAAAAACATTCAGTTCACATTCACCATATTGAGGTCATGATTTGTGTAAGGCTTGGGAATCTTGAGGGCAAATAATACACGGTTCTTGTCCTCACAATTATTCAACAACTGACTGTAGTCCATTATGAACAGGTATAATGGAAACATGAAGAAGGAATAACTTGTTTGCAGAGCTGAGAAAGTGGAGGCTTTAAATAGGTGGTAACAGTTGAGTAGGCTCTTGAAGGTAGGTATGATTTCTCATCACAGCATTTTCTTGCTCAGTAATCTTATAGAAAGATACCTCTTCCACTCCATCTCACCACCACCTAGCTCAATGATCATACTGGGCCCAGACCTCATCATTACAAATAACCACACCCTTCCTAAAATTTCAATTTCAGGGAATCTATACTCTGACGTCTACTGGCTCACTTTCTGGCTTACTCCCTCTGGTACACTGATTTCAACAATTCCCTAACTCCAGTGGGACCTCTATCCATCGACCCTAGCCTCTTTTCACTGTCCAATACTCCCTTGTGTCCTTACTTTCCCCCTTACCTGGCTTAGACTCCACGGTCCATCATTATAAATACTCCTTTGCATACACTTTCAAATTCCTTGTCTCTTTCTCTCCTTCCCTCTGTTACATTACCTGGAAAATTCCAACCCTGATTAAATCCAACTCTCTGCTAGCAAACACTAGTAAAAGTACTCTGGAGGTACAGAGCTATTTGAATTCCCAAATAATTCCTGCACCAAGTTCTGGAAGGGATGTTTACCAACCAGTTGAAGGGACTTCTGAAACGTCAAATTTCACAGAGCATCACAGCTCCAGCTCTGGAGACAGTTTCTGGCTAGTCATTGATTACTCATTGACAAATCCTTCTTTTTCACCATACTGTAGAGCCCTTTAATGTAGAGACCACCTATACACTTCATGTTGATTACACTGCCTGGCATAAAGTGGGTGCTCACTACATGTTGGTTAAATGTTGAATAAATGTATGAACAAAGGGAAAGATGCTCCCGTGCTAGGATATAGAGAGTAACCAAGGCCGTTAAGTTTCTAGGATGAGTGCTAGAGAAATTATTTTTACAGATTTTAAAAAGGATGAATAAAAATGCTCATTTTTAAAAACAGGTGGAGTTACCTAGAGTTTACAGTTAATATTTTACTTTAGAAATATACATATTTTGCTCTTTAGAGCCCCTAGGATTCATATATATCAGGATCTATGTATATTAGAAGCCATATATAAAGAAAACTTTGTTAACCAGATTATTGGGAAGAATTAAAAAATAGTAGCAATAATTCAATTAACTGGCTTTGTGGCAGACTGTTCTCTCCATAACAGTAACTTTACTCTCCTTTTTGTGATCCAATCTCAAAAAGAATTTAGTGTGTGAACTAAAGCCATAATTCTGGATGTCCTCTTAAAGGATGACATTTAAGTAAAGAGGATTACCAAAAGTAGAAGGGAAAGCAAATGAGTTAGTAAATGGGAAGACCAATAGTGTGAATAAGTATTGTGGCACATTTTAACATAAATTTCTAAAATTTTAAGTATTTCTTAATTGCAACAATATACCCTATAGTGAGGCAGTAGTCAAAAAATTTTAACCAGCCTTTCCACAAAACTGCTCATTTCTCAGAAGGGCAGGCAGATTTCAAAAAGAATAAAGAAAATGCCTAATTTTTTATTATGATTTAATTTGAAGCATCCTTAGTTAAATCTTTTCTAGTGTCAAAAATAAAAACAGGAACAACTGTGAATATTAAAATAGTCCTAATAATTATATAAAGGACTATTACCCAGAGTTTCTAAATACACAGGTATTTAGACAACTGATTTTTTAAAAATGAAGTATTTTTATCTCCTAGTCAACTTTATAGAGATTAATTTTGCCTTTAAACCAAGTAGCATCCATTATAAACCAGAGAGCTGAAGCTGACTAGTAAGGAAAAAACCAGGATCTGGAGGCTGAAACCACTGAGTTCACAGTATGGGGGGCTAAAATGAGTCGATTATCAAATGAGTTACCTGACTGTCTTAAAGCAAGCAAAATTTGGGGGGAGGGGGAAGACTGTGAGATAACAGGTAAAAGTTACAGTAGCAGCAAATGAAGGTAGTAGGACCAGGAGACATTGTTTAAATTTTCTCATAATATGTACAAATGGGCATCAAATCCTCCTAATTAAGCTTCTGAAAATTCTCTTTTAATACCTCTACTTCATTATGTAAGGTATGTCCTAGTTCAGACCTCACCGGCTCTCCTGGACTCCACTGCAACAGTCTCAACTCTAATTCCTTTTTATTGTTACCAGGGCATGTTTTCTGAAATAGAGACCTGATTATACTTATCTCTCCTTTGATGGCTCTCTTACTACTTGTAGAGAATAATTCAAATCCCCTAGTCCGATATGCCAAACTGTTCACAGTTCGGCCTCAATCTGCATTTACAACTTCATCTTCTACCACTCTCCCCACCTCACGTTCACATTTTGTTCACACTTTTGTCAGGACTTGCCTGATAACCCAAACCCCTATCAGAACTAAAATGCCCCTCCACGGCACTCCTGTATTGCTCCAAATATGCCATGATCTGTCTACTTTACTATACCACTGGCCAATACAGCTGTATTCTGACAGAGGTGAGTTCTCACTCACTCACCTTTTCTCTTCAGTTTGGTACACAGTAGGCATGAATAACTGTTTAGCAACAGAATAATCAAGGAAGGTACAAATAAATATAAATAAACATAAACTTACTATGCTGATTTTGAGCCCCCTTTTAAAGACTGGATTCAAATCCAGTCTCACCTCCTCCAAGAAGTCTTCTCCAACTGCTTTAAGACTACATTGCAATGGTAAATTGGAAAGGGAGGCATATCTTATGACTATAAGTTATGACTCTTAGGACACAGCTCAGCATTTAAATGCTCTTTATTTTAGCGGTGTTAATTCTGCCCACCCAAAGAGATGACATGGGTAACTAGAGCAGTTCTGAGAATTTTCTTGTACTCACTACATACTTAGTAAGGTACATATCCTCCACAATAACTGGGCCAATATTTATTCAGAGTAGGTTTTGATAAATATTTTAGATCAGTAGTTGGCAAACTTTTCCTGTAAAAGGACAGATAATAAATTAAGCGTGGCAGGGCAAAAGGTTTTACCGTAACTACCCAACTCTGCTGCTGTACGTTAAAGCAGCAACAGACAATATATCAACAAATGAGCATGGCTGTGTTCCAATAAAACTTTTTTTATGGACAATGAAACTGGAATATAGAATTTTCATCTGTCAAGAAGATTCTTGTTTTGATTTTTTTCAATCATTTAAAAATGGAAAAAAAACATTCCTAGTGGGCAATACAAAATTAAGGAGCATGCCAAATTTGACCCACAGGTCACAGTTTGCCAATAATTATTTTAGATAGATATATTAACCTATATTGCAAAACAACTGTATTATCAAATTCCCAAGTAAAACATTAAGACACATTATCACAATACCTGCGTTCAGCACGTTCCTTCTTCTTTAAGGCAACATCCAAATCCTGCAATTGTTCTTCTAATTTCTCACACAGTAGTTTCTGAAAGAGCAAAACACGAGTGTTATTTTTTTTTTTTTTAAA